ATCCTAAAATGTAACTATAAATTTGTACTATATCAAAATTAAGGCTAATAAAAACCAACTGGCATTGTTGTCAAAGTAAAAAAAAAAAAAATATATCAGAAACTGATCTTATCTACATTTTTAATATATTTAAAATTATTGATAAACTCAATAATAGCTCTTTTTCTAGCTATATTTATATATTTTTGTTAACTTTTTCTTATCTATTTACCTATCTAATTTATACTATTTGTCTTAGCTACATTCTTATAACTCTGTTAACTTTCTTTATCTATTTGCTTATCTAATTGATACTACTTTTTATTTTTTTAATTATACTTTATTTCTTATTTAATTTATTTTATCTTTAGTTTCTTTTTTTTATAATGATATAATTAACTTTTAATAATATAAATAGTTAGTAAAATTTATAAGTAGCTTACTAGTATATACTTGAGTAATGAACATTATTTAGAAAATTTTACCTAATCTAGGTAGGTCTTAGCTACTCTAGTAGGTTTAAGCTGCAGATAAATATATTTGAGTTCTTATTCTTGCATATAGCATTTATATTACTTAGAGGTATAGTTTTATAATTAACAGTTTAACAATTAACTCTAATTGCAAGTATTGGTCTTAGCTATAGCATATATAGAACTTCTTTTTGTATTCAGTAACTCTATATAGTTACTACTTAATGACTATAAATAAAATAAAAGCAAGGCTTCACCTTAATACCAAAATAAATAATATTAGATTTTTAACAATAATTTTTTTTTTACAAAATTTTTATATTATTTAAATAATAAAATATACATTTTAAAAACCAAATTCAATAATTTAATAAAATTTTTTTTTTATTATAACATTTACTCATTTAAACTCAAAATAATAATAAATAATTTCTATTTTTTTTTTTTTTGTTATGCCAAAGTAGAAACTTTATTAGGTAATAAAAGTAATTATATTAAAGATTTCTAAATTACATTTGTGCTACTTATTTAAGACACCCAATGTAACATTACATCTCCATTTCTATATAACACTATTATTAATTATTTTAAATTAATTTTAAATATAGAAAGGTTAGAGGAAACCTAAGGTAATAGTCTTAGCATTTAGTAAATACAGTTAGTAAATGTATAGCCTAGAATTAACCAGTTTTTAATAGATATTGTTGAATTTATAATAGGTGTATTAGTAGTATTGGAATTAAGTTAAGAAGTTAGAGTTAGAGAATATATTTTTGAATATTTAGATTTTTTAGTTATATTGTGAGCTTTTTTCTATTGTTGTTGAAGAATGTTACATGATACCTATATAAGTTAGTGAAACCAATTTAGAGTAGCATTTGAAAGGGCTATAAAGAAGGATGATGTTGTTTTATAAAGTAATATTTTAACATTGTTATAATGAGATATAAAGAAGAGACCTTTAATAAGATTAAGAAAATGTGAGTGTAATGGAGTGTTTGTTTGTTGTGACAAAATAATATAGATTTTATCTGAAAGTGTCGTGGGGTTAATGAATGCTCGTATATTTACGTAACAAACAACATCTAGTCTCAAACGTTTAGTAGTGTTGCAAACAAACTTTATTTCCAACTGGTTTCCCTTTTGGTATTACCCTCACTCCTCCTTAATAGACAACGCCCCTCTACCTACTAGCTCAAAGGTTTAGCGAAACTATTACTTTGGTTCAGGTTATTCCTCAAGAAAATCAGAAAAGTGGAGGTTCGATTTCAAGATCGAACCTCTTATTTATTTAAAAATCATGTGCGATTACATCATCATTGTGCTATTGACTACAAATTAATATTACTAATTATGATGTCGATCACTATTTAATTAATTTTGGCCCATGTACCTTTTACCCCGGATCATCGATCCACATGCATCCAATAAAACATACGTCAGAAAGTTCAGTAATATTTGAAATTAAAGTTTGAAGGATTTATTAAAAATTATATTTTTGTTTAGTACATGTAAAGAGATGTGATATATCTTTAGAGTTTGATAATAGACACAATTTGGAGTACATAGTAGGTAGGTTGTTATTAATAATTTTAAGGTGAAAAGTATATAATTTTTGATCATTATTTAGAGAATTAATAATGTCAATGTTTGTTGACCATTTAATGAAATATAGGTTTTGAAAGGATTTAAGTTGTAACCAAGAGAGAAGTAATTGTATAGTAATTGTGTTTTGTAAGAATAGTTGGGTTTTAGTAGATATTATGTAGTCATGCTATTTAAAATGATCAGAAAGTAATATAGTGAAGTTGGATTTAATTAAGTGTTTAGAGGTATCTTGTTTAGCTAAGAGATCAGCTTGAGTATAAAAAGAATTATTAGAGTGGGATTTAACTTTGTAAAAGAAGATTTTGAAAAATTTTGGTTAAATAAAATAGTGAATAATAAATAAAATATCACAGTTTTTAATATGTAAGTATTTGTGTAAGGAAAGAAATAATTGAATGTTTTTTAGAGCTGATAAATTGTCAAGATGTATATTACTTTGTGAGTTTATTAGCAGAATGTGTAGAAAATAGACAATTGCTTCAAGTTCTGCTCAAATAGAGTCAAGATATGAAGATATTGCACAATTAAATTTGATTTGAGTATTATGTTTAGAGATTAATCCAATACAAATTTTTGGATGTGGTGTTTGTGCATTAATAATTAAAGCATCTGTATAGAAATAAGTATTATTTAGAAGGTTTTTAGTTAATAGAAATAGATTAGTAAATTGGTTTTGGTAATAAGATAAAGATATTTTTTTTGGATTATTTGAATTTCTGTGTTAGGAATGTAAATAGTTGGTAATTGAGGTAATATTGAAATTGAAATTACATGTTGTTGAATATCAATAAGTACATAAATTTTATAATTATCAATATAGAGTAAATAGTTGTTATTCTTTTTTAATAATTTAATATGAGAAATATTAATAAAAGTTTGAAATATTGGCATAGGTAAGTTAGTAGGAATTAGAAATATTGAACCAGAAAAGGTGTTATAAAAGGAGAAAAAGTAAAGTGAATTTTTTGTAAAAAGAATTTGTGAGTTATTAAAAACAATAGACTATTTATTTAATAGTAATAAGTGATAAGAAGTGATTGTATCAAAGAAATTGATAAAGTATTAATATTTGTAAGTTAAGATGTGGCCATGTTTGAGAGATTAAATTGTTTTAAATAATATTAGAAAGTTTAGTAAACCAAGATGGAGTAGGTCTATGGATAGATTTCTTGATATGATATATATATTGTTTTATGAAAAGATATATAAATTGTCAGCTGTTATAAGTTGTTCAATAAAGAGTATTTTATTATTTTGAAAACTGTTAATTAGTGAATAAGAATTATTAGATGAAAAAATATCATATATTGTTTTTGTAGATATAGAAATATTAACCAGTAGTAAATTTAGTGAGTTATTAAGTAAAAGAAAAATATTAAAGTTATTTAAAAGTAAAAGTTAAAAGATGAATATAAAGTTTTTTGTTTTTAATAAAAACTTAAAAGCAGTATTTGGAAGAAAGAAAGGTTGTCTTATTTTAGTTAGTCAATTTTTAATTCTGGTTATACCAATCTGTTTGAGAAGAGAAGTAAAATAAAAAATGTGTTCCATTATAGATATTGCTACTTTTTGAGTTAGATGTTGAAAGGTTGGAAGTTTAAATGATAATAAATTAGTAAAAAGAATATTAAATGTATTTTTTGCAAGATAAAGCATTTTTTTTGTTGTAATAGAAAGTAGACATGAGAGTTTTTGTTATTGTGTTTTTGAAATTGACAAGATTTGTAATAAATATTTTAAAGATAGTTGTAGTATTATATTGAAAAAAGTAGAGATTTGTTTAGATGTGAGTTTTTTTTGAATTTAATTAGAGCAAAAAAGTTTTTAATTTTGTTTTGGAGCATTTTATATGTTGGTTTAGTTAAGCTATTTCCATTAAAATAAATACTAAGGTATTATATAGTTTCATAAGGCTTACATAAAGATATTATTTGATTATTGTTATAGAGATTTAGTAGAGTAAGATTTAGTTTGTTTTTGTTTTGAGAAATATGTAAAAGGTCAAATTTGGTCAGATTAATTCTAATATTATTTAAATTATAAAGTTTTTGAGTATCATTAAGAATACTTTAAAAGATTTAGAATTTTTACTATACCAAACAGTATTATCTATAAAGGCCATAGGAGGTATTGTCATAGAAGATGATGAAATGTTTAAAATGATATTAAGAGGTGAAGAGGAGGTAATTTTGAGTAGGTGGTTGTTATATTTGTTGTAAATGAAGATAAGAATAGGATCATAATAAATTTTTCAGAGTAAAGGTAAATTGGTTTCACCTTGTTTAATTTCTGATTTAATATAAACAGATGCTATAAGACTATGTGCAGTAATAATTCTTGCTTGTCAGTTTGTATAAAGTTTAGTAATAAGTTGAATTTCTTGTAAAGGAATACTAATTCTTTTACAAATATCTTGAAGTCAAGATATGTTAATTTTATCAAAAGCTTTGGACATATCTTGAAACATTATCTATGCTTCTTTGTTACAAGTTTGTAATATTTAATAGTATTATTAAGGATTTGAATTGAAATGTGTGTTGATAAGTTTTTGGTAGCTGCAAAGTTAAGATTAGAAAGAAACTTGTTTGTATTAATGATAATATCAAGTCTTTGTGTAAAGAGTTTTATAAAACATTTTATCATAGGTTCTATAATTAAGATAGGGTAAACTTGATTAAATATAAAGTTCCATAAAGATTTTTTTAAATAAGAAAGATGTTAGATGTTTTCTAATCTGATGGAATTTTTTGAAGTTAAAAGCATTTGTTAATAAATAGTTTGAGAGAGATTTGGTCAAAAAAGCCAACATATTTAATTTGTTCATAGTTGGTTTCAAGAGGTCCAGCAGCTTTTTGAAGAGAGAGATTTTGAATAGTATTTTGCTATTTATTACCAAAGATATCATTAAATAAGTTCTGAAAGTATGGTTTGAGTTTAGGATAAGGTTGGTAAAGTTCATAATATTAAGAGTTGGGTTGAATTTGATGAAAAGGTTTTTTATTAAAATATTCAAAAAAATGAGTATAAATAGCTTGTTTAATTTGATCTTCTTTTGTTAATAAGATGTTATAGTTTAGTAATCTGTTAATATGTATATTATTGTATTTTTTAAAAATTTTTTTGAAGAATTTTTTTGGTTATGAGTAAAAGAGTTGATTACAGTCTTCAATTTTTTGTTGAATTTCTTTTTGGGTTTATTGCTAGTAATAAGTATTAAGTACTAATTTAATTTAAATAAATTCTTGTTTAATAATAAATTGAATATTATTAAAAGTTTGAGATTAAATAATAAAATTGTCAGAATATTTAGTATTATATTTATAAAGAAGATTATAAAGATTTGGTAATTGTAAATAGTTTTTAAGATATTGTATTTATTTGTATTTATAATAGAATAAATGGTGTTTAATTGGTTTATCTAATTTAATTTTATGAATAGTTTTGATTTTTTTATAAGGAATGTTTTTAGTAGCAGCTTTGAAAAGTGCTTTAAGTATTTTGTTTCAAACTAGATTAAGTTCATTTTGATTTATAATATTTGATATATTAGATTGAAGTTGTACAAGACTTTGTAATGTTTAGTTTAAGTAGTTTTCTAGATTTTTCTTAGAACAGTTTTTTCAAAGAAAGTTTTTTCTTATATATTGTTTGGTAGGTTTTGTTTTATTAATAGTTATAGATATATCAAGAGTAATGATTTTATGATCAAAAATCTTTACTTAGCTTATTATCTTTTAACAATGCTTATCTTAAGTTAACAAGAACTAGACACAGCAGACCTTGATTATTTCTATCAAAACTTTTCTAACAGTTTTGGAATTGCCCTTTATGAAGAGGACAACAATAACAAGACTTGTCCAATTCCTCCCAAAGTTCAACCTACTTCCTGCTTAACAAAAAATCTTTGAACAAATAAAATTACTTATTTCTTTAAAGCTTCTACTTCTACCTCTGTAATTACTTGCTTCTGTGGCAAATATCATACCAAATTCATCTTAACTTCAAATACCAATTATACTCAAGCTACTAAATTTACAACTGCTTATATCAATAGCAATTCTAAAAAAATTAACAAAACAACTCAAGAACTTATAACTAATCTTTCTTTTTCTATCAAGTGTTCCTCTATTTTTTACACCTGATGTACATTATTATACTTGCCCTAAATGCTTTCTTCCAATTGGTTGTACTAAAAGAAATGAGTGCAATTACCCTACTAAAAAATACATTCTAAAAATAATAAAATCTATCATCTTACTTGTATGACTGCCTCATTTTAACATGAAGCTAGTTCATCCAAAACCAAGAAAAACCTCATACAAACCTTCCAAAACATCTTACATAAATTCTCTCAAACTATCAATCCTCTTACTACTTCTTCTTACCAAGTCTCAACTTCATCTGATCTCATCAATTCTTTCTTTTCTACAACTACTAACACTAATATTAACTCTAACTAACTACCTATTACTAACACTCTTGACACTTTCAATCTAAATCTCAATAAGACCAGTAACACTAACCAACCTAAAAATATTCCTAACAAACCTTTACCTCAATCATACTCTAGTGTTCTCAAGCCAAAATCTAAGCTACATATGACTGAATTGCAAATTTTCCTATTACTGAAGAAATGCAACCTAATAAAAAGCTGCAAACCTTATTTTCTCTTCAACTTTTCATCTTC